TTATTGCCATATTCTTTTGATAGCAACAAGTATTTATACATAATACTCACTTAGAGTTTGATGTGCAAATCCAATGTTTCATTATTTATAAAATATCAAAGTATTAACAGGAAAAAAACTGAAAACCATTATTAATAATGATCAGTGTCTTTCTCCAGCTTCAAAATAAGTTTCTGAACTAATATATATATATATATATATATATATAACAAAGATTGTATTTTGCCAAAAAAAAAAGGTCAGCCAGATTATTTCTGGGTGATATATATAATTTAAGGTGATAAAATAAGGAACAAGTAAAGAAATCATTTGACATGTTTCTCTATTTAACTTCATCAGAAATTTTGGGAGTGAACTGTTTTGGAGTTATGTTTCAGTATATCTTATGTTGTTTATGTTTATGGATGTTTTCGTGAAAACAGGTCTTATGGCTAAGTCATATTGAAACACCTGTTTTCATACAATCACCAAAATTGAGCAATGTTGAACCTGGTCTGTATCTTGATGGGTGACCACTTGGGAATACCAGGTGCTGTAAGCTTGGATGTGTGTATGGTATAATGGATAACAGCTCAGAATTGGAAATCAGAGATTTGAGTTCCAGTTTCAGATTGGTTTGTTATATTGAATTTTTTTTTTTGTAACCAGCATCACCTCATGCAAGATAGTAAAGCCACTAAGACACAAGATGTTACAGAATGTGGCAGAATTAGGAACAGAAACATTAATAATGAGCAGGAAGAGGAAAGACTAATCAGGTGAACAGTAGATAGCAGTTGACATTGCATTTAAATTTCTGCAAATTAAAGTTGGCTGGAAAGCATAGAGCCAGAAGAGAGTTCCACAAGCAAGAAGTGTAAGAGGAAAAACTGTTAGCATAGAATTTACACTTGCATCTAGCTAGTTCAACTCTAAATTGATGAGATCTCAACACCAGTCTAGTATAGTACTTAAATTCAAAAAGGCTAGGTACCACATGAATTACATGTACATATCCTTGGGAAAGATATGAATCCATCCCTTCTCCTCCCAGCTATGGGTTAATTAGTAGCACTTCTAAATTGTTATTATCTTCAAAAAAAAATCTTATCTGTATTATATAAAACTAGTTTCTGACTTTCAGTAACCTGCAAAAGGTTGATAAGCAGTAAAATACAAATCAATCCTAAAAAGTTCTCCTCCTAGTCTGGATGCCAACCAAGGTGTGAAAACTCTGTCTACCTTGCTATCTAACTCATAGTTTGGATAATCCAGCCCTGAATTGTAATAAAAATTCAAGAGATTGTGTTAATTTGGCTCATGTTACAAAGAATTGTTTTCCTAAATGATCTTTAGTTATAAAAGCAGGGTTGAGTTCAGAGATCTTTCTAAAAGGTGATTGGTTTCAACTCTTCAAGCCCCCAATGTTATATGTTATCATCTTCAAAAAATTCCAAATATCTAAAGCTATTTTCTGGCTTATGGTTGCAAAAGGTTGATGTCGTAAAAAAACAAATCAATCAAGCACTGAAAACAGGACAACCTTCTTTCTTTTTATGTGCCATGTCCTTTCAGGATGTAGACGATCATGGCTCTCCACCTCCTTCTGTCTTTTGCAGCTCTCAACAAGTTCCTTCCCTCTGCTTCCTTCCCCAGACCATGTTCTGTCATCCACATGCTCAAGCTCACCAGATATGTCACATGCTGCTTTCCATTGTCTCTTATTCTCACGCTTTGACCCATGAGTATCAGATTCTCCAGACCCTTCTTCCTCATTATGTGTCCCTGAAACTTCAGCCGCCTCTTCCTGATGTTAAGTATAAGGCTTCTCCTTATTTGTAACCTCTCTGAGACCTCATAATTGCTCACACACCCAGTCTATCCTTAGCATCCTTCTGTAGAATCATATCTCCATTGCCTTGAATCTCTTCTTCATCTTTGAGGAAATCGTCACTGCCATGAAGGAGGAGAGATATCATGTAACTGCTCAGTATATTCTTTTCTTATCAAAGAAATCCTCCTGTCTTGTAATACTCTGCCCAGCTTTTGGAATATATAGTGAGCACAGGATATACCAGGGGACTTGCCTTGGAAATTAGTCTAGGGTTTGAGATTCATCTCCAGCTGTGCTGGTCAAACTCTCTGCGTCCGGGCAGAGAGGATCCCCAGACAAGGCTATGTTGAAGGGCAGGGTCTCGTCTTGGGAAACAGCTACCTGACCCTGTTTTAAACGGGTAATTTTTGGCTGAGCCTACAGGCTCGGATACCCTACATTAAATTCAGCCTTGTGCCACATCTGACCATGTGGGATGGTTGGTAGATATCCTTGCTTCGGGAATTACTAGCCTGCCACCCAATTCCCTGTCTTTCAGTAATGTATTCTCTTTTACAATAAACCTCTTTTCTTTCATCTATGCATATATTACTGTTCCTTTCACTTGAGTACCACCTTTGTCTGTTTGTAAACCCTTTAAGGATAGAACAATAACTCACTGAGGTTGATATGCGGTAAAACAAACCAAACATATAAATGACAAAAGCGACATATTGACACTGTTGTGTTTCAAACAAAGAATCACAGAATGGCTTAGTGTAATAAAAAGAGCAAAAATAAATACATAAATCAGAAGTAAAAATAACATTTTCTCACCTGAAGGGCCATTAGGGTGTAAAGAAAATTAAAATGACCGATCAAACTCTTTGTCTAATCCTGGAAATTTTTACATTCTTGTGAACCAGAAATAACTCCCTGAAGTGGGGAAAGATAGATAATGACTGCATTTAAAACATGCAAGGAAATTACCTCATAACGTATACAGCACATGACTCACTCGGAGTTTAAAGACTAAAATAAGCAAATTTGGAGCATACCATAATGTATAGATTTTTGCGTGTGGGCAAAGATTTTAATTGGTGACTTTAATTTTGTTCACTACCTGATGATCACATTGGGATGAAACTGTAGTATTTGTTCAGCAAGCCTCATTGTTACTTTTCATTCACATTTTATATATATATATATATATATATATATATATATATGTGTGTGTATATATATATATATATATATATATATAAATGCAGAAAGCATTCTTCTTTCTTGAAGGATCCTTTTCAACCAACACATTGTCACAAAAATAGGTTGGCAAATATATATATATATATATATATATAAAGAAATGGACAAAGTTCGACAATTATTTTAAGACATTTTTATATTTCTAAAAAGAATGTATAAACATAAAAATGTCATATCTATATATATATATATATATAATATGTATTCGGTGGCATCAAATATATATATATATATATATATATATATATGATAATGAAATACTAAAATCACCTTAATGTAACAAAACTTGTATAAAAGAGGGATTGCTGATCAAATACACACACACACTCATATATATAAAATGTAAGTGGCTCAACCACTTGTATTCGAGTATGCCAGTCTATTGTGACTAGCTAATCCCCATTGCAGACGTTTGCTCAGGCACATTTGTGTTTGTTCAACTACCACAGAGCCCACTTGTGGTATATCCTGCAATTATTCTGAGTGGACCTTAGTTACAGCTTCTGAGAGAGTGCACATGATCAACGGTCTGACCAAGGCCAGTATCCTTGCACCCTTGGTCACTATTACTTGTGACTTGATGGCCCCCAAAGGTTTCCATCTACCCAATTTTACTCGTAAGGCTTGGGTTAAGCTGTGGTATGGATTTTATGAACTTTCCAAAACGTATTGCACTCTTAGATCACCTCCTTCAGGTCGATAACATGAAGAAGTCATCTTCTTGACAATCATTGTGACCATGGTGAGATTCAAACCTGGATCTCATGGTCAGAAAGTGAACATTCTAATCACTTGGCCACATACCCATATATATATATATATATATATATATATATATATATATATATATATATAAATAAAACTTTTTTTAAATATTTATCTATTAACAGACTTCATTTCAGTGTGATTTTCAAAATGGGCTTTTGCTATCATTGGACACTCTCAATTTTTTTTTATGTTCTTTTAAAGGAATGCGTCAGCATGCCAACGGTTTAAAAATAATTTAATTCATTTTGTTTATTAATCTATCCACTTTTTGAATTCTATGATTTTCAGCTTCTTGATCCATCCATTGAATTTCTGCCTCTGGTTTTCTTCATCAATTTTATTGTATCTCATTCTACTAATAATATCAGTATTTTTCTTTTCATTATGTACATAAGTAAATAATATATATGTGGGTGTGTGTAATCCTGAAAAGTAGCCCCAAATCACTTCTGTGAGGATGAAAAAAAATGAAATGTCTATCTTAGAAATGTCTTGTTCCCATCCTTTTTTTTTTTTTTTTTTTTTCTTTTTACAATTAAAAATTTGTCATTGTTCATCAATATTTCCTTTCAGCAAAACACTGATTATATACAGCAATGATTCTCAGAGTGGATGTTATCCAGAGCGGATTTATATATTTGCTAGTATTACAAATTAAAATAATGTTAAAATAGAAAAAATCTCAGGTTTGAAACTCATCCCCTGATAACTCTAGAATACAATATATGTGATTACAAATAAGTGAATTATAATTACAAATCAAAATGTTAAAATATAAAAAAAAAAACATACCAGATTAACACACCTATATGACACCTGGATTTCCAATAATCTATAATATGATTATAAAGCAAAATAATGTTGGAATATTAAAAGAAAATCTGATGTTTCAATATGGTTGAATCGTCAGGTGAATATTAAGTTTTTTCCTAAATATTTCTTTTCAAATTATAGGTGTATAATGTATGCCTCAAAAGATAGTAGATTTCTTGTTTTTAGTGGTCGGTGTTGTCATCTGTCAAGCAGTTGGAGAGGTTTGTAAAAGCATCTGTCAAACCACAAGAAGATTGCCTCGTTTTTTTTTTTGTTTTTTTTTTATTCTTTCCTTCCTTCACACCTTCAATGTCACCATTACCATTTGTCCCCATCTCTTCACTGCTTCTGTTCCCTCTAGCATGATACTTACGAAGATAAACAAGAAGACTGCACCAATGACACAGATGAGGAAATTGAAGCTGCTTTTCGTGCATGTGTCGATATGGAAGCTGCAGTTATGACAAAGAAGGTAAGTTGTGTCAGGGATGAAGGTCTCAGGCAAGGAACCCTTGTTTTTGGGGGTTTTTTTTCAGTTATATGTAATATATATATAGTTATACACAGAAATAATTTTAGCCTCAACTTTGATCTCAAAAATACTGTATTTATTAAGAGAAAATAACAAAGTTCTTGAAAGTGCAATTATTGAATCTTGCCAAAATGTCAAATTGTGCACTGGATTTTTTTCAAAATATGTCTTTTCTTAAAAGAAAAGATCCTTTCTCAAGCCAATATATATGACCATAAAAGATTTCTAAAATTAAAAGAAAATGGGTAACTCAAGACATTTTAAATATTTAAAATAAATACATGAATAAACAAAACAGAATAAAATACATAGAAATAAATAATAATTACATTAAAAATTAGACTAAAATTTTCAACATTTACTAACTTTTGTTTATTACATAATAAATTACATCACTTAGTATAATCAATAGTTTAACTTTCCTTACACAACAAGATTTAAGAAAAGTTTTAGAGCATTCTTGAATTCAAAATTTGAAAACATAATATTTTCCCCCATGTTAATTTGGTATATAAATACAAGTTGCAAAATAAAATCTTCACATCTACCTTGATAATGTTTATCAAGGAACAAAACATGTTTTATTCATATTGTATTTATAGATATATTTTATTTATATCTGAATTTATTTAATATATTAATGAAAAGTGTATTCAGGTAGCAAATTTTCAGTCAAACAAGTTTTATTAAATAACACCAACAAGGTTTATCTATTCAACTTTTTTATATTGTCTTTCAAATTTCGAACTGAGGTGTTTAACATTGGGATTAAAATTATTAGCAAATTGTCCTGTAACCTTCAGGAAATTTTGAAGTGTACCCTTTAATTAATCTATAGGGGCCAGATTGTTCTCATTGCACTGAATATGTCTTGGGTTATTTTGTCTTCAGTTTTTGTTTGCCATGTCCACTGAGTCTACACTACTTAGCACAGGGATTGAACTCACACTTACTGTGTCCCATGGGACAATTATAAGTGGAAAACTTGGAGCCTTAACCCTAACCTTCCTGCTGATAAGTGTTGCTAATTGTCACTCTATCACAAGATAGAGGAATTTTGAAAAGGTAATAAGTGAAAAATAATGTAAATAATTTGGATCTTAAGCAATTGGTCTGTATTCAAATGGGTGACCACCAATGAATGCCAGGTGCTGTAAGTTACATGAAAGGCCTAGTAAGTGATGGATACAATCTGGATACTTACACTAATAGAAGACTGCAATATGTGGGGGTCTTTCTGGACTAATAAGTCACAAAACCCAACTTTAGGAAGTGGATAGATTTTTACTATCAGAATGCATTGGAAAATGATTTTTACTGTAGAAATGCTGTGAAAAATGATTTTTAGTATAGGAATGCATTGGAAAATGATTTTTACTCTAGGAATGCATTGGAAAATGATTTTTACTATCGGAATGCATTGGAAAATGATTTTTACTCTAGGAATGCATTGGAAAATGATTTTTACTGTAGAAATGCTGTGAAAAATGATTTTTACTATAGGAATGCATTGGAAAATGATTTTTACTCTAGGAATGCATTGGAAAATGATTTTTACTCTAGGAATGCATTGGAAAATGATTTTTACTCTAGGAATGCATTGGAAAATGATTTTTACTATCGGAATGCATTGGAAAATGATTTTTACTCTAGGAATGCATTGGAAAATGATTTTTACTGTAGAAATGCTGTGAAAAATGATTTTTTACTATAAAATTGAAAATGATTTTTTACTCTAGGAATTTTGATTTTTACTCTAGGAATGCATTGGAAAATGATTTTTACTCTAGGAATGCATTGGAAAAATTTTTACTATCGGAATGCATTGGAAAATATTTTTACTCTAGGAATGCATTGAAAATGATTTTACTGTAGAAAATGAAAAAATGATTTTTACTATAGGAATGCATTGGAAAATGCTGTAGAAATGCTGTGAAAAATGATTTTTAGTATAGGAATGCATTTGAAAATGATTTTTACTCTAGGAATGCATTGGAAAATGATTTTTACTATCGGAATGCATTGAAAATGATTTTTACTAGGAATGCATTATGATTTTTACTGTAGAAATGCATTGAAAATGATTTTTACTATAGGAATGCATTGGAAAATGATTTTTACTGTAGAAATGCTGTGAAAAATGATTTTTAGTATAGGAAAAAATGATTTTACTATAGGAATGCATTGGAAAATGATTTTTACTATGGAAATGCAGTATTGCATTGGAAAATGATTTTACTATAGGAATGCATTGGAAAATGAAAATGATTGGAAAATGATTTTTACTATCGGAATGCACATTTTTTTACTCTAGGAAATTGGAAAATGATTTTTACTGTAGAAATGCTGTGAAAATGATTTTTACTATAGGAATGCATTGGAAAATGATTTTTACTGTAGAAATGCTGTGAAAAATGATTTTTAGTATAGGAATGCATTGGAAAATGATTTTTACTATCGGAATGCATTGGAAAATGATTTTTACTCTAGGAATGCATTGGAAAATGATTTTTACTGTAGAAATGCTGTGAAAAATGATTTTTACTATAGGAATGCATTGGAAAATGATTTTTACTGTAGAAATGCTGTGAAAAATGATTTTTAGTATAGGAATGCATTGGAAAATGATTTTTACTATCGGAATGCATTGGAAAATGATTTTTACTATCGGAATGCATTGGAAAATGATTTTTACTGTAGGAATGCATTGGAAAATGATTTTTACTATAGGAATGCATTTGAAAATGATTTTTACTGAAGGAATGCATTGGAAAATGATTTTTGCATTAGAAAATGATTTTTACTATAGGAATGCATTTGAAAATGATTTTTACTATGAAAATGCATTGTAAAATTATTTTTACTATAGGAATGCACTGGAAAATGATTTTTAATTTAGGAATGCATTGGAAAATGATTTTTACTATAGGAGTGCATCAGAAAATGATTTTTACTACAGGAATGCATTGGAAAATGATTTTTGATATAGAAATGCATTGAAAAATGATTTTTAATATAGGAATGTATTGGAAAATGATTTTTAGCATAGGAATGAGTTGACAAAGCAACCAAGCAAAGCCAGAAACAAAACTTAAGTGCTTCTCTTAAATTTGGTGGATGAAATTTGAATGAAAAATGGACATTGAAGGACTTAAATTTAGAATTTATATGATTTATCTGTTTATGGCGATATCACATTTAAACACCAGTACTTGTTTGATCACTGGAGTTTAAACAATGTTGAACATGGTCAGTACACAGATAGATGACTGCTGATGAATACCAGGTGCGGTAAGCTAAGTGACATGCTGAGTAATATAGTGATGGATACAATCTCGCTACTTACACTAGTGAAAGATCTTGATATGTAGAGGTGTTTCTAGATTGACTGGTTGCAAGACCTACCTGGTTAGGTGGGTTTTGAGTGATTAAGCAGATATTGGATTGGAATAAACTAATTTTTTGCTTACATCTAGAAGAAAATATTAACACTGGCACTATTTCCTTGAGGTAAAAAAAAATATAAATTAGATACTGTGGAGTCCTAAAAGGACCAGTTGGAGACATCCCTGACACAGGCAAACATCAACCCTGAGACCTGGGAAACCATTGCTGCAAATCTGCTTTCCTGGCGTAGAACTATCTGAGGGAGGAACCAATACTTTAGAGTACAGCCATCAATATGAAAAAGATCTGTGACATGCTCTCAGGAGGGCCTGACTTTCCCAGCCACATCTGCCACCCGCACTTATATGTGACTCCTGCTCATGAATCTTCAGGAGTAAACTGAGCCTTCACAGCCATCTCTGCCACCATCACCAGAGGGAAGAAAGAGAATAAGGAGAGAGGATGATGATGTTGATGCTCAGATATGAGAAGGTGCCGACAACGGGTTCATAACATATTCTTGGAAGCTCAATGTCTTCATTTCAATAAATGCAGGGTGTTCCATAACCATAACCTTGTGCCATGTCCCTTCAGGACATAGGCAATCATAGCTCTCCACAATTTCCTGTACATTATAGCTCTTAATAATTTTTTCTTTTTGTTATGAGATAACAAAAAGAAAAAAAATTATTAAGAGCTACAAAGGACAGGAAATTGTGGAGAGCTATGATTGCCTATGTCCTGATGGGACATGGCACATACAAGTTGTTTCCCTTGGATAGCTTCTTCTTGAGAACTGTTGCTTTATAGAATAGAATCCCAAGAGGATGCATTCCTGACCTTTACAATCTTACCCTCTTCAGGTCTAGGGTTAACTGTTATCTCCCCCACATATCCTCATAAACTGCGCCCCTTACTCTTTTCACATTTATTTTTCTTTTATAACTATTTCCTACGAACCACTGTCTTTTCGAACTGATGCTCAAGAGGTTGCTTCCCTGATCACTACAATCTTAGCCTCTTCAAGTCTAAAGTTAACCGTTATCTTTCAAACATGTCCTCATAAATTCAACCTTTTATCCTTACTACTCTTGTATTTCTTTTGTGACTTTTTACAAATATTATGATAGTTAAATCATAAATATCTATAACTGTATTTTTTCATGTTTTGACACTCCATTTATTTATGTTAGTATATGATAATGAATAAATATACTTTTTTATAAATAAACAGTCTACTCAAATATAGGTATCCACTAAAAATAATGTTTAAAGTGATAAAATCCGTCAGAGTACTAAATAAAAAATCCATTACTTCAGAGATTGCTTGGTTTACGTTAGAAAATGAAACTGAGCTGATATGACTTTTCAAGATTCAGGGAAAATTTCTCTGTATTAATTCTAAGTACCTGACTTCTCTTGCTACCCTCTACCTTTACAAGAACCAGATCAGGTTTAAAATGGAGTACTGATGCCATATATGGACAGGAGCTGCCCAGTCTTCCCTTTCCAGTCTCAATAGAGCTCTAAAACATCTCAACTATCATCTGTCTTTGCAAGAACCAGATCAGGTTTAAAATGGAGTACTGATGCCATATATGGACAGGAGCTGCCCAGTCTTCCCTTTCCAGTCTCGATAGTATCTCCGTATCCTTGTAGCCTAACCCTAGCTTTTTACCTAAATAACTCCCTAGTACATTTTCCACTATACAACCTTTTTCCCCACAGATGAAATGTCACAAGCCTCTTGCTGCTCTATCACTATTTCAGTGGAAATTGTTCAAATGAACTACATTCCTGGGTTCCACCAGTTCTAGCCTTCACACCTAAGACCTGCAATACCATGCACACTTTAGCAAACCACCCTCATTCCATTCGTATTACTTTGGTGAGATTTCAATTCCACTTGAACAGATTCTTCCTGTGAATCTCTGCCTTTTTGATTTGGCTCCCAAGAGGTGGCTTTCCTGATCACTACAATCTTAACATATTCAAGTCTAGAGTCAGCCATTATCTTCTCCACATACCTTCATAAACTGAACCCCTTGCAACTCTTACTTGTATTTCTTTTGTGACTTTTTCCCACAAACCATTGCCTTTTGGAACTGACTCCCAAGAGGTTGCTTCCCCGATCATTACAATCTCCACCTCTTCAAGTCTATGATCAACCATTATCTTCTCCACATACCTTCATAAACTGAACCCCTTACAACTCTTACTTATATTTCTTTTGTGACTTTTTCCCACAAACCACTGCCTTTTGGAACTGACTCCCAAGAGGTTGCTTCCCTGATCACTACAATCTTAACATCAAGTTTAGTGTTAACTATTGTTTCTCATATGTCCTCATAAACTGCACCCATTACCCGTACAACTCTTTCTTGTGACTTTTTACAAATATTATCATGATTGTTAAACTATCAATGTTTTTAAGGTGAAAACATTTTTTGTTCCATTTTGTTTTAAGCTTTTGTTTTGTTTTGTTTGTTTGTTTGTTTGTTTTTCCTGATTTCTAATTGTTGTTATGTTCATATTTATGAGTGAAAAACATTTTTCACTTTTCTCTCAAAATCAAGTAAAAAAAATTATGAAGTTATTGTGTGCATGGTTTTATGACACAGCATGTGTTAAAAACCTTTTTTTACACTGTTTAAAAAATAATATTCCATTGTTCTTTTATATTTGGCTTGTGGCCACATCATGTTGAAACACCAGCTCCCATACAATCACCAAAGTTAAGCAACGTTGAGCCTGGTCAGTACATAGATAGACGACTACTTGGGAATATCAGGTGCTATAAGCTTGGATATGTAGGTGGTGAAATCAATAATGGCTCAGAATTTTTAATCAAAGTGCTGAGTTCCAATTCTTGTTGATTTTGTTATATTAACTTATGCACAAATACACTTAGGAAAGGTATAAATTCACCTCTTCTCCCCCATCTATGGATTAATTAGTAAGACTTTTATCAGTAAACCATTATTATCTCAAAAAATTTCTTACAATCTAAAAATATTTTCTGGTTTTAAATACACTTCAAAGGGTTAATAACCCATAGAAAATTAATCTATCAATGAAATACTGTAAATGTATAGAAACTACAGTGGCCATAAAGTGAGGGGTCAGTTTATATATTAATTTTAATATACAATTGAACCCCCCCATTTTATATGCATACGATAATTTCTTGTTTATCAAATTCTGATTAAGTATAAATCCACCATTTCTCCTCTTAGCTATGGTAAGACTTGTATCAGTAAACAATTATTATCTCAAAAGAAAAAAATTCTTACAATTTAAAAATATTTGCTGGCTTTAAATAGCCCACAAAGAGTTGATAATCTGTAAAGGACCAATCAATCAATCTTTTATATTCTTTCCAAAATTACTACATTGCATTCATTTTTAGCCTTTAAATGATCTCCAACATCTCTTTTATCAACTTCCCCCTAATTATTGCAGATTGAGAACAATTCTGACCCCACCTTCGTTAAGACCCCACCCCTAATATTAGACATCTAATAGTATCAATTTGTATTAGCCTTCATGAATTTCTCTTAAACACGACAATGAAAGCACATAGTCTTGGAATGTCCCAATATTATCTTTATACAGGGTGTCCATAAAGTTCGTGTGCACTTTAAAAAAAAATAACTTTATTTGACAATGAAAGTTTAACATAGTCTTGGAATGTCCCAATATTATCATTTTAAACAGTTGGTAAATTTTGTCCATAAAGCTAATGATGGAGGACTTTAAAAAAATTTATAAAAGTAAAAAATAGATTTACTTTTGAGATTTTATGATCAAATTTTTTATAAAGTTATAAAAAGTGCACAAGAAGTTTATGGACACCATCAAGTATAATGTGAGATTTTATGTAATTTTTTACAAAAAAAGGGAGTCCCTACCACACACAAGTAATTTTTTTTTGAAGAGGTTCAAAATAATGCATTTTTTGGTGATTGGTTGCACTATACAAAGTTAAATTTTTTTTCTGGAGGGGTTAAGTCACATCCCAAAATTCAGGGGTTACACTATACATGAAGTTAGCTTATACATGGGTATATACAGTATAAGAAAAAAAAACAGCAGTTAATTGCTGTCTCCTCCTGAAGAGTGGATTGAACAATTACCAAAAAGTGAATCTCCCTTCGAAATTCTAGAGTCAAGCTGCAGATGTAGCTGTATATAGTATCAATCAGCTCAAGTTACAAATTACATATATATATATATATATATATATATATATATATATATATATTTCTTGGTAGCCTTAAAATTGATTAAGAAAAATACCAAATGAGATTGAAAGTACTTGGGAAAATAAAAACTATTTGAAAGAAAATGTTAGTATTTTTCTTAATCAATTTTCTAAGGCTAGCAAGAAATTAATCCGTGAACTTGAAAGGATCACAACAAAAACTAATCAGCATGATATGTCTAAATTATTTAACCAAACCTGTTTGAATGAAAATATGCTGCCTAAATATGCATTACATATATATGTATATGAGTTAGGATCAAATATTGGTCGGAATTTGATAGAATAAGATAAAGAACAAATAGGAAACATTTCTCAATCTAGCATGTTTGACTTTTATTAAAGCTTCATCAAATGAGACTGAGAAAAATAAGAAAGAAATTCTGATATTTTTACTTTTGTGTTGTTTGATTTTCATTGGTCAGTCATTTTTGATGTGCATTCGACTTGTTAAACAAATGTTAGTATAATTTATTGAATTCAGAACACCATAAATTATACTAACATTTGTTTAACAAGTGGAACGCACTTGAAACATGATTGACCAATGAAAATCATACAACACAAAAATAAAAATACCAGAATTTCTTTTTTCTTTTTCTCCATATCTTATTCTCAGATAAAGCTTTAATAAGTTTCATTAAGTGTAGTAGTGACACAAATCTCTTTCATGGACCAAGAAAGACATTTGTGTCACTACCACACAAAAAAGAGAATGTTTAACATTGAAAAACATAAGGAAAATTAATTCATTTTAATAATATGTGGAAATATCCACTCTTTGCCTGAAGAAGGTCACAAGATCTGAAACGTGTGTTACAAAACTATGGAAAATAAAGCATAATATATATTTTAAAAAATCCACATTACAACCAAAAGCATTTGCGGTTTTGCTCTTCTTTTTAATAGATATATATATATATATATACACACGCACTAAATACTCTTTCTTTCCTCCTTCTCCTTCACATCCTCCTCCTCCCTTCTTATCATACCCAATGTTGTGTGTTTGTTTATTTATTTTTTAAAATAATATAGTGTTCATTAATTTTTTTTTAAAAAGATAGTGTTGGAAAATCAATTGATACAAACAACCTGACGATACCAAAAGGTTGAAAGCAAGGTAGCAGAATTGCCTGATCTTTTAATTTTTTTTAAATATATATATATATATATATATATATATTAAAGTCAACATAGAAGTCAACACTTAGAGGCATCGGTCTGTTTCATGCTAGATGCAATTGTTGTGACCTGATGATTGCGTCTAGCATAAAACAGACTGTCACCTCTAAGTGTTGACTTCTATGTTGACTTTTATATTTACACATGCTCTATCTCTGATATTGAGCACTTTATCCCATAAATATAGCACACCTTAAGACTATATTAAAAGCAGGTATAAAAGACTCTTCTTTAAATGTTTGTTATCTTTCTGTTGTTAATCGCTAAAACATTATCCCTGAATTTATTTTCAGCATAGCTATCAGGAATCATCCTCATAGTTTGAAAGAAAAACACCATCGGCATGAATTTTTCTCAGACAAAGGAAAACATTTTTTCTTTTTTCTTTAAACACATTTTTGTGCTATTCTCTTTAGCAAGTTGCAAAATTTTCACAAAAAATATATAGATACCTGAAGAGAATGAAAATGAATGGGGTTTGTTTTTATTTTTATTTTGGGAAAAATCTTTATAATTTATTGATTTGAAGTTTGTTTTTTTGTTTTTTTTTTTGCATGTTTTTAATTTGATTTTATCTAATGAAATCTTTTCTTTTTGTTTTTTTTTTTTTAGGATATTATTTGTTTATTTTCTCATTTTTCTCTATTTAGTATCGTGTTTTTTTTTTTTGTTTAATCATTTAGATTTTAATTAATTTTGAAATCATATTTTTCTCTGTTGTTTCCCCTCTACTTTTTATTTTATATGTTTGCAATATTAAATGAAAAGAAAAAGTCTATACACTTTTTATGCTACAAAGTATATGCAGTTTTTTCTTTCTTTAATTTTATATTGGTCATTATTCAAATAATACCGTATTGTAAACTGCTTGCTTTAGAAATGCATTTCAAAGTCTTTTTTACTATAGAAATAAAATACAAATACATTTTAGTATAGAAATTGTGTTGATAAGGATTTTACTATAGAAATCTGTTGAATATTGTTATTTTTCTATTGAAATCACCTGATAAGGGTTTTTGCTATAGGAAATAAGTTGAAAATTATTATTCTATAAACATAGAAATTAAAAATATTAACGGCTTTCAATATTTTATAAATATTACCAAAAACTATTAAGGAATTCCTATTTACCTGTTTTTCATTTTAATTTCCTCCATTTTTATGATTATTTCTGAAATACATATTTCATGAGAGACGCTGTCTACACAAGACAATGTTTTCAATCCCATTATGAAAATATTTTTAAGAAAAAATTTTAATCTGAAATCTTCCCGTCTAATTAACTTCTGTTTAACTGAATGCTTAATTGAATAAATTGTTTCACTATTAATTTTCAGCAACAACAGATAGAAGATTTGGTAAATTAATTTTGTTTTTTTTAATTATTAGTCAAAATCTGTGCTTGGGATTTTTTTTTAAAAGCACCGAAATGGCAATTGTATTTACTAATTCATAAATTATTCTTGCATTAAAATTATGACCTTTTATTTTGAGTTAAATAACACTGTAATATTTATGCTAATATTTGAGGTCACAAGATTGGCCAGATTATGAAGTTTGGTTCATTGTAAATATAATAAACCAAGTCACCATGTTTTTTAGTTTATGTATTGTTTTTCAGATGAACCACTTAAATTATTACTCTTATTTTAATATTAGTTTTTAACAGTAAAAAAAGTATATTAAACTAGATTAATAATGAGAGTAAAACAAGTACTAAAATAATAGTAAATGAAAATCTGGCTTGGAATAATACCATGGAGTAAAAATAATAGCAATAATGAAAAGTGGATTTGGCCAGAGGGTTGGGATAAAAACCATCAATAATAAGATGAAATCAAATTAGTAATAAAATAATAGGAATAACAAAGAATGTCTCTAGTCATAGGGTTGCGACAAAAAACAATAATAATAAGCTTATGTAAAACTAATAGTAAAATAATAATAATAATAGTGAAGTCACAAATATAAAAAGGTCAAACAAATGCCTTTTGTAATATGATTTAATTATTTATTGAAAAATAAAGCAAATTAATTAGATTTTAAAATAAAATCATGAAAATAATTTTATTTTTTGTTTATTCTTAATAATTCTCAAGAGAATTAAAATGAAAAACTTGGGCTTTATTTATGGTGGCCATGATGGTAACAGTAGTCCAAAAGAAGAGATTTCATTAATAACAGTGGTACACTCTTTTTATTATGTAGATATGAAAATAAAGTGACTTTTTGGCATGTGAACAAATTCAAAGACTTTTGTAACGTCTGCGGATTTATTTAAATCCAATAAAAATTGAAGCAAAATGATTCAGCTCTAGTTAGAGAAAACACAAAAGCAATAATTCATTAA